TTTGTGAACCCGGTTATGAGGACCGGGCGACAGAACCTAGTAAACCTAAGCGTAAGTGGAATCGGAAGATCTATCCAGATTCCGCCGTTTGTAGGAGTGCTAGGATTCGAACCACTAAAAAATTCCATGATGAATTATGAGAGTAATATTTTGGAATAGCAGAGGTCTGAAGGACTTGGCTAAAAGAAGATTCCTTGCTGAGGCAGCTTTAGAGCAGAGGTTAGATTTTGTTGCTCTATCGGAGACGGGTAGAGATAACTTTGCACCCCAGTTCCTCTCTTCGTTGGTGGGTGGTATTGACTTTGATTGGCATTGCCTTCCTCCGCGGGGAAGGTCGGGTGGTATCTTACTGGGTGTGAGATGCGATTCGCTTGAAGTCCGAAGTGTAGTGATGGGCGACTTCGCAGTGAAGTTTCGAGTCAGGTCTAGGATAAATGGTTTTAACTGGGCTTTGGTGGCGGTATATGGTGCCGCACAGCCCGAGCTTAAAGCGGAGTTTCTGGCGGACCTGGTTCGTATCTGTGGGGCAGAACAGCTTCCAATTTTAGTTGGAGGTGATTTCAATATCATCAGGAGGAGAGACGAGAAGAACAATGACAATTTTGACGGCAGATGGTCGTTCATGTTCAATACTATTATTGAAAGCTTGGATCTGAAAGATATAGAGCTTTCCGGTAGAAAGTTCACCTGGGCCAATGCTTTGCCACACCCAACCTATGAAAAGCTTGATAGAGTGCTTGCGAGCGTGGAGTGGGAACAAAAGTTTCCTCTGGTTACGGTGCAAGCTCTTTCAAGGGGCATATCTGATCATACCCCATTGTTCGTCGACTCAGGGGAGCCGAACCATGTGGGTAACAAGAACACCTTCTCCTTCGAGATGTCATGGTTTGAACGTGAGGGGTTTTTGGATTTGATCACCCGGGAGTGGGCTAGAGGTCTTGGAGGCAAGACTGCGTTAGAGCGTTGGCAGAATAAAATTAGGCATTTAAGGAGTTTCTTACGGGGCTGGGCTAAGAACCTCAGTGGTGTGTATAAGATGGAAAAGGATAGACTCCTCGCTCTTATACAGGCCCTGGACATACAGGCCGAATCCAATATCCTAGCGCCAACTGAGCTTCTGTCTAAAAATGAGGCGGAGAAGAGGCTGAAAGAACTGCTCCGCGAAGAAGAATTGAAGTGGGCTTTGCGTGATAAAGTATGCAAAGTAGTCCACGGGGACGCAAATACTCACTTCTTCCATTTGATAGCCAATGGTAAGCACAGAAAGAAGCGTATCTTTCAGCTTGAGCAAGACGAGGGTACCATTTTAGGTCAGGACAACCTAAAAGCATATATTACCGACTATTATAAGCAGTTGTTTGGACCTCCGAAGGATAATTGTGTGTCCCTCGATGAGTCCAGGACTGAGGATGTGCCTCAGCTTTCGGCTGCCGATAATAATATTCTGCTTGCCCCGTTCTCGGAGAAGGAGGTGTTTGATGCCATTGCGCAGATGGAAAACAATAAGGCTCCCGGTCCGGATGGATTCCCGGCAGAGTTTTATAAAAAGTGCTGGCACATTATTAAGGGGGATTTACTACCTATGTTCAATGATCTGTTTTGTGGCCAGCTTCAATTATTCCACTTGAATTTTGGGACTATCACACTGCTTCCCAAGAAGACGGACGCGGTGAGGATTGAGCAATTCCGGCCGATTTGTCTCCTTAATGTTAGTTTCAAAATTTTCACCAAGGTCGGGACAAACAGACTCACACAGATTGCGCATTCTGTGGTGCAGCAGTCTCAAACTGCTTTCATGCCGGATAGAAACATCCTTGAAGGGGTGGTCGTCCTGCATGAAACACTCCATGAAATCCATTCCAAAAAATTAGATGGAGTAATTTTTAAGGTGGATTTCGAGAAAGCGTACGATAAGGTCAAATGGCCATTCCTCCAACGGTCATTGCGTATGAAAGGTTTTGACGAAGCCTGGCGCCGACAGGTTGGATCATTTACGCAAAAAGGTAGTGTGGGAATTAAAGTTAATGATGACATAGGTCATTACTTCCAGACACATAAAGGCCTAAGACAAGGAGATCCGATGTCCCCTATCTTGTTCAACATTGTGGTGGATATGTTAGCAATTTTGATAGGAAGGGCTAAGGAAAATGGTCAAGTAGGGGGATTGGTACCTCATCTAATTGATGGAGGAGTATCAATCCTTCAGTACGCTGATGATACAATCATCTTTATGGAGCATGACTTGGCCAAGGCGAGAAATATGAAGTTGGTGCTATGCCTATTTGAACAACTGACCGGGTTAAAGATTAACTTTCATAAGAGCGAGCTGTTCTGCTTTGGTAGGGCCAAAGATGAACAGGAGGCTTATCGGCAATTGTTTGGGTGTGAGTCGGGCGAGTTACCCTTCTCTTATCTGGGGATTCCAATCCACCATCGTAGGCTGACTAACAGAGAGTGGAAGTGCATCGAGGATCGGTTTGAGAAAAAAATGAGCTCTTGGAAGGGTAAGCTCATGTCATACGGAGGCCGATTAATCCTGATTAACTCGGTGCTCACGAGTATGCCAATATTTCTCCTATCGTTCTTTGAGGTCCCAGTTGGGGTTAGGAAGAGACTGGACTTCTATAGATCGCGCTTCTTTTGGCAGGGTGATGAGCTTAAAAGAAAATATCGGCTTGCTAAATGAGACATCATCTGTAGACCGAAAGACCAAGGAGGTCTAGGTATTGAGGATCTAGAAGTTAAGAATAAATGCCTTCTTAGCAAGTAGCTGTGGAAGCTCTCATTGGAGAATGACGCTATGTGGGCTCAAATCCTTCGCAACAAGTACCTCCAGACAAAAACTTTGTCCCAGGTCACTGTTAGGCCGACCGATTCGCCTTTCTGGAAAGGCTTGATGAAAGTTAAACAGTCTTTGTTTAATAGGACGAAGTTTGTTATTGGAAACGGCACGAGTACACGTTTCTGGGAGGATACTTGGCTCGGCGAGACACCATTGGCCATCCAATATCCGTCGTTATACCGTATTGTGCAACGACGTGAGGTGTTCGTTGCATCGGTCTTTCAATCAATCCCCCTTAATATTCAGTTCAGACGTATGCTAGCGGGCAATCGTTGGGAACAATGGCTCCATCTAGTTAGGAGACTGATGGAAGTCCAGCTTACACAACAACCCGATGAATTACGCTGGAAACCGACTAAATCTGGAGTATTCACGGTTAAATCAATGTATATTGATCCATTCCTACGTCCAAGCATGTTTGGGATGTCAAAGTTCCTTTGAAAATAAAAGTGTTTATGTGGTTTGTCCATAAACAAGTTATTTTAACGAAGGACAATCTCTTGAAGCGTAATTGGACAGGACCTACTAGGTGTAGTTTCTGTGATCGGGATGAGACTATCAAACATCTCTTTTTTGATTGCCCGTTAGCCAAGGTACTTTGGTAGACGATCCACATTGCTTTTAGTATCACTCCACCGAATTCTGTTTATGCGTTATTTGGGACATGGCTTAATGGGATTGAGCCTAACTTAGCGAGACATATTCGGGTTGGAGTTTGTGCTTTACTGTGGACTATCTGGACTTACAGAAATGATTTGGTTTTTAACAGAATATCATGTAGACATTTTTTGCAGGTCATATTCCGAACTACGGCACTGATCCGTTTGTGGTCGCTACTCACCCAGACGGAGGCCAGGGAGCATTTGGTTACTGGGTCTTTCCGATGGGAGATGGTAGCTCGGGATATTTTCAACCGGTTTGGATGGCGGTCATGTAATAGGATAGCTTGATCTCCTATCTATTTTTAGCCAGCCGGTTGTGGCGTCTTTTCTAGGCTAGTTGGTGTTTCTAGCCCCTTTTTGGCTCTGTGTGAGCTGTTTGTGCTTTGATTTTTAAGACCTTTGGAACCATGTGGACACTACTTTTTGGCTAATAAGAGGGCCGTATGCATCTTTCTGATGCAGAGGCCGGGGAGTCACCCCTTTTCCAAAAAAAAATCAAGAAAAACAAACTTACTTTCAGAACAAGCATTGTGCAGCTTACTGAAATATTAGTTCAGTTCAGTAGTCGGTTCAGGCACAAGCAGCAATGTTCTGTTCAGTTCAGTACTGAAGTATGAACAAACGTTGTTCGAACCAGGTCTCGCTCACAATTTCCATTGCGTAAAAAAGGAAATCAAAGTCTGGCAGAGTTACTGGATTATTCTAGATTAGATGACTTCTTCCAAGTGCAAGATGTAATCTTCTTCCTGAAGATTTTTAGGGGTTTAGAGAGCCTACAAATACTTTAAATCAAGAAACTGAATGGAACTAGAAATGCAAGATTTGTTTCTCAGGTTGTCACCCCTCATTCCTAAAACCAAATTTAGCAAACCAAAAGTATAAAAAGGGAAACCACAAGAAGGATAAAACCAAACCCGCTGCAACATACAAAATCCCACTTTCAGAACCAACATTGTGCAGCTCACTGAAATAACAGTTCTAGTGCTCAGGTTGAGGCACACAAAGCACAATCGACAAACAATATGACTGAAATATGAACAAACATTGTTCAAACCCGGACGTTGGCAATTTCCGTTCCAGAAAAAGGAAATATAAAGCCTTGCAGAGTTAGCAGGGAAATGTGAAAAAAAGCTTAAACAATAACAGGAAACCCCACCTAAATACACTTGGCCTTGAGCATAACTGCATAACCAATGGCAGAAACCCATTGAACACGAATTAATCACAGAAAGGACTTCACTACATGCGCATTACCTAAATTAGCAACATCACGATGAATGCAACAACATCACTGAACATAGCAACCACATGAGGAAATAATTCAAGACCATCATGCTGAAATTTAGAATCTGTTGAGACCAACATAATGCATTACTACAAGTTACGAAATTTGACGATCGACAACTACCAAACGTGCATAGGTTCTTACACATCCTTGCAATAATAGGATCTGCTTCAATATAAGATATAGTAGCCACCCATCATGATCATCATAATCACCTACACAGAGAGAGCATGCTGGGGACAACCCACATAGGTTGCACCTTGGCGTCACAACCCATGAAAATAAAGACATCTCCCTGCAGCGGCTTGCCGAGCTCAAGTGCAATCCAACGTCCAGACTCATGGTTATAGCAGTATATGCAGTTGCTCCGCCCTCCCCATATCTCTGGGTTCATGCAAGACAAAGCCTGGCTTCTCTTGTCCGTGCTGATGAATATCGCCCAATGCTCTAGCTTCTCCACCTTGAACCACAATGCAGGCTCAAATGATAGGTCAAGGCGAAAGACTTCAAAGGTTACCCCTGATACTACGATAGACCCCCGACAGCCGACCAAGAGAAGCATATCGCCGCAAGCCACCAGCCATGCATTGGAAAGATTCCGCTTACTGATCATGCTTGACTCGATGACTGGTAGTTCTTGGATGCTAATCTGGGGTGTCAAGTGCACTTTGAAGATTCTGCGATCAGAATCCATGCCAAACACCCGTCCTTTGAAGACCACGATTTGCTTGATATGTCCATGATGAGTAGAACATCTCACCACGATTTGCTTGATATGTCCATGACGAGTATAACATCTCACCCACGAGTCGCTACAAACACGCCAAAACAGATTATGTGGTCCAGCCTCGACAATGAGATGAGAGTTGGGTGATGTGAGAGGAGCAGTAAGAGCACCATAATTGGGCTCAGCGCATTTGACGAGTGGTAGTTGTGGAGGTGAGACGCTAACACCTCTAGACACATCAACAACGATACAAGATTTTTTGTTGTACAAAATGAGATGGCCAAAGGAAGCCCCCATGAAGGAAAACCATTCCAGACGTAGAGGAATCTCAGAGCAAAGGTTGGCACCATGGTTGACTTTGACTATATCTGTGACAAGATATGGACGATTGGGCACCAGGTTGTTGCTAAAGGGGCTAGCATTAAAAGGGGAGGAAGAGACATCAGGTTGGAGAAGGAGAGGTGGGAATGTTGCTATGGAGCCGGCAAAAGCAGTACCCCAAGAACGGCAGGTGGCAGCAAATGCAAGAAGATCTGGGGCAGAGCCCAGGCCCATCCGAGCGACGATAGAGTGCAGCAGGCCTTCTGGGAGGTCTGCCCAACCTTGGGTCCCGGACATGGCTTAGACACAAAGACAACAGCCCTTGCTCCAGGAAGTAATTCCAGCTTCTCTGCAGCACATTACAAAATAAGAAGATACACACATTAGAAGAACGAAAAGGTGCGATGGCACCCGGGTGTCCCGGCACCCCCTTACCCAGCAGCTGGCCACTTGCGGCAGCAAGGTAATTAAGCAGGCAATTTGCAGACATAAATAGGGACAGGGACAGGGCTAGGCTGTAGTAAGCATAGTAGGGCACTGTTAGGCTGTGGTAGACCTGGCAGGAGGCCAGGCGGGCCATCGGGTATAGCTGTTGGTCAGCTTTTTCTGTATGCGATAAAAAAAATTAAGCATGGGTTCCGAGTATATATTCACGTGAACATGCAGCCATGCACGGGTGTCTCTCCTTCAATCACAGAACCGATATTAGACACTGTATCGTGGTGTGCGAGATTATTTTCTTTGCAGTTCAAACGCGCGGTAAAGGAGTCCTAAAATATTGTGCCACCAATGCATCTATACAGCTGCATGCCACCAGCCTGCTAGCTCCGGTAGAAAGATTCCTGCCACAGGAATAGTGCGACCAGGTCTATCTAGGGCACAACTCGTTTCGTCTCGTCGGTGAGTACCAGCTGGCCGACATGTCAACTCCGACATCTCCCTTTCTTTTCTTGCTATAGGTGGAATCAGCCTATACCAAACAGTGCTAGGATGGGTGCAGGTTGAAATCTGTCGAACCTATTGATCTGCTAATCAAATGCGTGCTACAGTACATGGTACATATCTCAATGCGCCAGATTCTGGATGAACGGACTGATAAGAGGGTGCCTAGGCACCCGGGTTCTAAAAGGACACTCTCTTCGAAGAATGAATTTGGTAAAAAAAAAGGAACTAATACGATATGAAGTGCTAAGAAAAAATAGCCAGTGCATGTATTGTTCCTGAACAATAGAGCATACAAAATTCTAATAATGCAATAAACCTGCAAAGTACTTATATGACTAGATTTGAATGAGCTATTTCCTTACTAATATGACTTCTATAACCAAATCCAACATCCGTGCAGTGTAAACATTGAACGGCTGTCACATCCTGACACATCAGCACTATAGCAGCTTTAAGGGTTCAAGCGGAACAAAGAAGTTCCCAGGCAGCTGCAAGTAATTTCGATCACATGTAAGTGTGGCACTCATTGAGATGTTCAATTAGCAGAATGAGAATGATGTATTGGCTATCTGATCAACAATGTTTTCTTCGCTATAGAGCTGGAATTTGCCATCCACAAGGACCACAGCTAGCCAAATCATTGAATACTCAGCATGTGTTGTTCTTCATATGTAGTTAATGCATACTGCCTATGTATTCTTTTCCAAGAAATTCCTACTGGGTACACATATAAAAGTTCTGATACACACTTGTTTAAATTTCAATATTTTTTATGTTCAGGATAAGATACTACCATGTGTAGAAAAAAGGACCTATTTCAGTCAAACACCTCCATGCAGTTAAATCTTTTTGAGAAATCGACAAACGGTGGCAGAGGGTATTGGAGGGCAAAACTCCTTACTGTAAGGGCGTTAAATGATTCAGCTTCTATGATTCTATCCCTAGTTTGGCTCATCCTAATTAATCTACTGGTGTTGCGACAGGACATGGCGTTATACTGGGAATGCCCATCGGCCAAACGGCTTTGCACTTGGGCTGCTGATCGATGGGAGACAATTGAAAACTCTAATCATGTTTTGAAATTTGTTGTTTCTGTCTCCACCCAACCCAAATCGGAGCCGATTCATGTACCAGTTTCCGAGCCATACAAATTTATCCATGACCCAGAAACCTAACCACTACATTAATAATCGATGTGTTCTCCCTCCAACAACAAAAAATCGCCTCCGGTAGCAACAACACAGCATCTTGCCCTACCAAAACAACATCCAGAAATGCGTTCTTTGCTCTTGCGAAATGGCAAACTGAAAACGAGAAAACTAGGATTCAAGTGCGTGTGGGTGCGCGTGGGAGAGGGGGGAGAGGGACGGGAGCGGGGTAGAGAGAGCGAGAGGGGGAGAGAGCAGACCTTGCGGCGTTGGCGATGGCGGCCGGCGATGGAGACGCGGTGGCTGGTTGTTGCCGCCGCCGCCGCCTCCTCTGCTTCTCCGGCGGTTTGTACATCCGTCGGATCTCACTCTCCAGTCCTCGCCCCACCCTTTCTTTGTAGCGTAGTGTGAGTCGGGCCGGCGTGCTGCCAAAACCCAGCTAAAGATGGGAGGGAGCACTCTCAAAAACCGTTTAAAAGTCAAAAACTCATGCGAAACAATAAAAAAAATCGGAGGGAGCGCTCTCAGCCCACCCCCAAGTGATCGCTGGGAGGGTCCCGAAGGAGAGCTCACCAACTAGTTGCTCCCGGGCAGCCTGACGCGTGAAGCCCAACGTCCGGGCCGGGCTCGGGCTTCACTTTTCTCGCCAAGCCCAGGCTGAAGCCCAGGAAAAGCCAGGTAAAACTTATTTTTTGAAAATCTCTACTTCTAAGGGAACATTTGGTAGTCTCGCTTCCAGGTTTTTTTTAGTCCCACCTCCCACGGTTTATTTTGGTACCTCCTCCCACCTCTGACTAAGACATCACAAACCGAATAAACCTCCTCCCGAGGCCCGAACCTACGACGATTAACCAGCGACAAACATAACCTACGAAAAAAATCTATGAAAAAACCAAAACCGAGAAGGAACCGCACGAGCGAGGCCTCCTGCCCTCGAGCGACCAGTCGCACGCACGACTCACGCAGCAGATCCCTTCGCCGCCGCCCTCCATCCCTTCGCCACCGCAGATCCATCCCGCCGCCGCCGCCGCTCCATCCCTCTCTTCCCTCCAAGCTTGTCGCCGGCGACGAAGCGTACGGCGCCCCACGGTCATGATCGATCGCCTCCAGGAACCTACTATGCGCGCCGAGGCGAGGGCCTCGTGGACTCCGTCCGTCGCCGCTTGGCCGACGACCCCGCCGCCGGGCAGGAGGAGTGTTCCGCACCGTGAGGAACCCGCCACGCGCGTCAAGGTGAGGCGCCTCCTGGGCTCC